ACTCGTACAAGGACAGACAACAATAATTTCACTTGAAGAACGTACATTGTTTACATAAGGTAATTTGGAGCACTTGAACTATCAAATAATCGGGGAAAAATCGCGCTGGCTGCAACATGCCTGCCATTTCTCATGATTTTCAACCTTATCCCTCAAAGTGAGACCTTCCCGCCTCGTGATATAATTTTACCTCCATCGTAATGGACGACTGATCGGCTTTGTTCATTTGCGAGGGTACCAATTCGCGATCATTACCGAAAACCTCTTGTCGATGAGCCGAATTGTGGCTAGTCCACCGTAGCTTCTCCTTTCTGCTCAAGATTATGACTTCTTTCACTCCAATCCAGTGTCTGATCATTGTATTGGAGATGTGATCGCGACGTAATATTCTGAACATTCTTCTTTCCATGGTTTTCTTAGTGACAGATAGCTTTCGCTTTTCGGCTTTACCCAGTGACTACGTTTCACACCCATAAGACATTGCCCACAGGATGGTAGAACTGAAGAGGTGCGTGTGTGTGGGTTTTGTTCCTGATGTTACGGAGGACAGTCTCGATAGAATGAAACGAACTTCAGCTGTTTTTCATCGGCTAGCTTTTCAGAATCTCTCTTGCCTGTTCATTCGACGTTTTGATCTCTTGACGCATGCGGTAAATGCATTTAATGACTGCTTCGATCTTATTGCCGTTTACTTGGGCCTTATGCAAGTTAACCTAATATACAAGGAAATTAAGATCCTTAGATGAATCGAATGGCTATGTTAATTAGCGAATAAAATAAAAATTTACATACAGTTGAAAGCCAGCATAAACTCCGAAAACTTGAGGACAAACAATAAATGCTCAGTGGTCACTGAAAAGATCACGTATGAGACAATATGGAGGGTATTTTATGAAACAAATAGAACTATTACTGCAGAAGAAAAGAAAACAGTTCAAAAGGCTTGATGCAACATCTGAAAATAGCTTCTTATCTTGTTTTATTGGTAATACTGTGACTCCTTATTATACAGAAAGAAAACCAACATTGTTTAGTGAAAATGCTGTAAATTTTTAAGATGTTTAAAGTAAAAAAAGGTCGTTAAAGGTCATGAAGGATTATACATATTAATAAAGGACTGAAAAATTTTTAAAACTACCTGCAAAATAAGCAGAGAATTTAACGAATAAGCGGTAAAAAACAAGATGTCCGGTGTTGGGTGCACGATTTAATTATTAGAAATGCATGGTGAATTTCACAGCACTCTGTTGCTGTTTTGACTCATTCAGTGAGTTAAAAATTTTGAACGTCCCACGTAGTAATTCACTTATCGGTTCGAGCTTATGATTCCGAGCTCTGGAAAGAACTCCAAAGAAAAGATAAATTTTTACTCCAAGATGGTACCACAGGTAGACTATAGAAGTCTTGTCCATCATGTAGCTTGTTATTATCAATGTAATTTACTTATTAATTAGTATTAAAGTTCCTTAAGTTCTTTCAACTATGCCTAAAAGCAGAATTCTTTGACGGTTCTCTATTTCCTTTTTCAATGAATTATGTGAGACACAAATGACCTTTGATGAATTTTTTCAAGCAATCGTAATTCAACTTTTAACTCAGCATGCGTATAGAATTTTTCACCTTAACTGAAGCGAAAATAATTACATGACGACTTATTGGTGCAACTGGTGGGAGGAAGCAATGCGCAAACCGAAAGTTAAGTCCTTGAGCTTGGACAGCGGCGAAGCAATCGTCTAAGGAGAAAGTGCCTCACCTGACCTGTCAGAACAGCACTGTTGAAGCGATCCGTTCTACGACGGAGGATGTGTGTAGTTGGCTTGAAAGGAGATCAAAGTGGATTATGCGTGGTACCATAGTTCAATGTTGTAAGGTGAGAGGAAACCCGGTAGTAGCAGGAGTACACAATTCTCAAAGGATAAAACTTATCTGACAATGAAAGAACAGTACATAAGAGTACGGACAAAAGTATCACGGATGATATGGGTCTGCTTTAAAAAATCAATCCCGTTTGAATTTGTCGAATGAAGAAACTCAAGTCATGTTCTTCGATGGTCGCTATCAACAAACGGGAATTTTTATAAAATAACGTTGTCTAATATCGTAAAGTACAACGGCTATATACAGTTTATCAAATATCACTAAGAATAGCATGCACAAACAATTGCAACCGCCTGTGATGTACCGTCTAAACAGAACGGGACCCTTCGACTCGATCGATGCGGACATATAGCCGAATCTAGTTAGCTACGCCAAAATAAGGGAACGCCAAAAAATTTGTTATCGTTGAAAAGTCTATCATTCTTGCACTTTCTTGATGGGGGCATTTCCGGCACTATGCATCTTATGAAACTAATTGTCGAGCAGCGGTATACATTTCCGTTCGATCAGCAAGGAGTGCCTTATTTTAAAGGCAAACTTGACAGCAGCAGCATGATGTGTAGTCCCTAATTTCTTTTATATAGAGCGTTACTCCTTTTTCAAACTTAAAAACGATTGACTCGAACGGAGCGCCAACTTATGGCGTCTCGGTTCCAGTTCAGCTCTGCCGATCGAGAAGTCCGGGTCAAAAATAGCACCTTTCAATACATACCAAAATTCGTCTTCAAGATAAAAACAAACGAGCATTTACTAAAAGAAAAAAGCGCCATTTTACGGGGTAATCCGAAAGATGCCATAGTTATAACGAAAATAATCCAAACTATGAAAATTTCACTGCAGTCAAAGCCGAACGCATGGTTGTAATAGTAGATTTTTAGTAAAGATTCCCCTAAGAAACACAATGAAGACAGCTTTGAGTCTTAATACTCATTCGCCTGCGATACTAGCACAAAAGTCACAAAACCAATAACCTTACCAAAGTAACCTCACTTTCTAGATCGCTTCGACACATTACAGTTTCACAAGATCATCAAGTATTGTTGAGTATCCCGCTACCATAGTCGAGGCGACGTCTCTAGTTTGAAACGAGAATGAACGACTATTGGGTTTAATAGGGAGTTTGTCATCTGGTCATGTTTTCGTTTCTGTCTCTTTTATCTAGCATTGCGTTGAGTGTTTGCTGCTTGATCGATAAATTATTACTTACTTTCTTGGCTTTTCTGGAAACACTTATGGATTGGAATCTTGATAAATTGCTCTTATAGTCATTTTCAATATGAGGAACGAAGAGATGGTAGCATTTATTACAACCGGCGAATTACACCCAAATCATGTTAGTCGTCCATTCTGAGAGAAACCGGTTATTCTTGTGTGACAGGTATTTTACTGAAGGAGACTCGGAGCTGAAATTAGTTTCTGAAATTTGGACTGCTAATTAACAGTTAATAAGCCTTTTCTAAAAGTAACGTTCTGCGTCATATTAAATGCATAAGGAGTGGTAGAGTTTCTCGCAGTTTGCTTCGCTTGCTCTTTGTTTCTTTCGGCCTGATTCGAATTAATGTTTAGTGAGGAAAGT